AAATTTATTCCCGGATAAAAAAGATAAAAGTATTGCAAAAAAATAAAAATAAAGTAAAAAATAATAACAAATTTCCAAAGATAGCAAAAAAAAGATGAAAAACCTTGTAAGTAGTAAATCTAATAATATGTCGAAAATTAATTAGATATTATATAATATTATGTAATAGAAAAATAATTTAATGTCATGAGAACTTACCCGCCATCACCATAAGTATTACGGCCCCAAATATCAATACCAGTATAGACATTACGACTCCGAGAACCAGCCTTCCGAGCCGATAACTCGGGGTATTCTTCAGACCAAGTGTAGTTAATAAAAATGCCATCGGTTACATCAAAAAATGGATAATTTAAATCATTCAATTGATCTTGCCAAGAAAGTGTTCCTTCTTTAGTGATAGAATCATACCTTTTCATTAGATGAACGATTAGAAATTTAATCAAATAATCACAAGTTTAATCAAATAATCACCAATTTATGTTGATGATTTGAAATAAACGAACCAAAGAACAACAGATCCAGGTTTATGCTTATGCATTTGTTGAGTAAGATAGTTCATAAAAGTGATGACTTGAAGAGCGTGGAGAGAACCACCAATCAAAGGAGATTCGATATTGATAAACCAACCATCAAAATTATAATATATAGCCATTGAAACTTATTATAAATAATGAATATCAATAATATCAAAAAATTAGCATATAAATATAATATCATGAATGAGTAGAATCATATTAGAATTATAATAACTAACCCAACTTATCCGCAAACACAGTACTGACTACCCTTCGATCAACATTTTCAGAATCATCAAGCGGAACTTTCGTGTGTGGACCTCGTACCCACAATTCATTTTCTAGCATATCTCTGACCCATTCGGTAATAAAAGTTCCTAGAACTTTAACACCATTTCGATGAGCAGTATTAGTCCATTGTGGAGGTGGTATTGTAATTCGATGGTGGGAGAAGCTTTATTATCGTAAAATATAATTAAATTGAACGTGATTAATGGCCTTACTAGCGTTTTTTTTTATAAATAAAATAAAATAATAATAATAATTACTAAATAAAAATATCTACATATTGCCAATACTGAATGCTATATCCGATTTTGAAGAAGTTTTCAATGTAACCTAATTCGTATAACAAGAACAAGTTAATAGATTTTGAATCTTTTTTAGAATTTTAAAGAGGGTTGAACTTACCACCAGCCATATCGTGACAGACTACCACTTGACAATCTCTTTTATTTTTCTCTTCTTGTGTGGTATTATTTCTGAATACAGGCCTTTCTCGCAAGTTAACTTTTGCAACATTAAATTCATCATTTTTAGCCTTCCATTTTGATAATTCGGATAAATTCGTCAAATAAGGGGGCCGTGGTTTGAAAACACTTGAATTCGGATTCTCGTGATAATAAAGCTTTTTCATTCTATTAGTACGTAGACAAAAAGTATTAAAACATCACACTATTATACGTAGTAAATTTGATTGACAGAATCTATATTATAATTGGTTAATCTATTTTTTTTTTTTATCGTTATTGTTACAAGTACAGAAGTACAGAAGTACTGTAATATAAGTATACGGCCAACATGTACTACGTCGTAGTTTACGAGATTTGTTGTAGGTGGATTCGGAATATTAATTGATTTCGGATCTTTTGTTTAATGGAATCTTAACTTGGTGACAGAACTTTATGCAAATTTCAAAATTAACTTATTTCAAAAATAAGTAGGAGTTTAAAAAATCAATTGTATTTTAAATTTTGAAATCAGAAAATAAAATAGGAGCATTAAATTATTATAATAAATCTGTAAAAAAAGTTCTTATTTTTAATGATGATATAAAAGTAATCATACAAATAAGCATACACTTAAAGTATGAATAAATACGTCGCTTATTTCATCCGAAATCAGATTCCCAATATGAATGACCGTATTAAGTAATCGTGTTTCTTTATAAATTTCAAAGAAGTCTGAATTATTAGTACAAAATTTGTCGTTATATCGAGGCTAATTTAAATGTAAGAGCTAAAGATGAACCTCGTTATAGGTACATGTGTAGTGCTCGGCAAAGTCAAACTAAAAGTTTGACAATCAAATCTTATATGAAATATTTCAGATCTGACTTTCAAATCGGTCAAATCGGCATATATAAAAATCTTATCGTTATTAATTTGATAAACGAATACGTAACGATAACGTAACATAATTTATTATTGGATGGTGATCATTGATTGGTTCGATCTCACTTTTTTCTTAATTATCGTGCAACTTTTTTTAAATTGTAATAGACTGGACCAGAAACGATCAAGCGAAAGTAACTTTTTGTTTAAATTATCATAGACTGGGCCAGAAAACTATCAAGTGAAGGTGGTTTTTTTTAACAATTATCATAGGTTGGGCCAGAAAACTATCAAACGAAGGTAAGTTTTTTTAAAATTGTTATAGATTGGGCCAAAAACAATCAAGTGAAGGTAGTTTTTTTTAAAAATTATCATAGGTTGGGCCAGAAAACTATCAAGCAAAGCTAAGTTTTTTTAAATTGTAATAGACTGGACCAGAAACGATCAAGCGAAAGTAGTTTTTTTTTTAAATTATTATAGGTTGGGCCAGAAAACTATCAAGCGAAGCTAAGTTTTTTAAAATTGTCATAGGTTGGGCCAGAAAACAATCAAGTGAAGATGGTTTTTTTTTTAAATTGTCATAGACTAGGCCAGAAAACTATCAAGCAAAGCTAAGTTTTTTTAAATTATAATAGACTGAGCCAGAAATGATCAAGCGAAGGCAACTTTTGTTTAAATTATCATAGGTTAGGCCAGAAAACTATCAAGCGAAAGTGGTTTTTTTTTTAAAATTAGACTAGAAAACTATCACGTGAAGGTAAGTTTTTTTAAATTGTTATAGATTGGGCTAAAAATGATCAAGTGAAAGTAATTTTTTTAAAAATTGAAATAAACTGGGCCAGAAACGATCAAGTGAATGTGTTTTTTTTTCAAAAATTGTAATAGATTGGGCCAGAAAACTATGTAATTTATATAATTCAGATAAGAACTAATAAAAAAAAAACTTTTAAATAAAAAAAAAATTAACTTTAACTTACAGAGTGTAAATGCAAATAAATTCAACTTATAATTTAACATTATATTACTAGCTAATTACATAAATATCATTTATTTAATTAATAGTAACATTTTCAGTATTTATATAATAATTTTTTACGCCTATACCTTTGTTACTACTTGTGTCGAGTTCTTGATTTTGAATATGTGCTTTAAAAATAAATACTAATAAATTAATATTATTGGCTTAGATTCTATTTAATCTTATCGTTCACTTTAAATAATCACAAAATTACAATTTTCTGCTCATATGAATTATGAATTAACAATGGATTATTAGGATGAACTATATATGGATATATAGTTATCAGGACATATACTGTATATATATAGTGAATTATTTCTAATATTTATATCTCAAATAAACTTGTGCAAGATTTAGTAGTGCAAATGTTTTGAGGTAATCTTGGCATAGTACTATAATATCTCTGATATAAGATTAAAAAAAATACTCATAATTCCAATTCTAATAGTGAAAATATTTAATCATTATGCGCGATTATTATATTTAATCATTATGCGCAACTGTAATATATGATTATTATGTGTGATCATGCATAACAATCATATATTACAGTTGCATATAATGATTAAATATAATAATCACGCATAATGATTAAATATAATAATCACGCATAATAATTAAATATAATGATCGCGTATAATGATCGTTATAAAAAAAACCCCATTAATATAGTGGTAATAAGAAATAAATGCATGTATATAAACAGAAGAAAATCCACCTACTAGTACTTAGAAAAGCATTAAACCTATTGAATAGATCCCTTTTTAAATCATAAAATAAATTTGTAATATATTAAAATTGCTTTAAAACAATAAACAATAAACCACTAATTTGCTATCAAAGTATAATATTTTTCTAATTACAATAACCTCTATCACTAATATTCGTGTACCAACTCCAAAGAGTGCAGTATGACAATATTATAAACCTTCTCTTGATGAGTTTGGTAAAAAAAAAGCCAGATACCTCCTATGCTTAAGCACCAAGTATTTTATCGTAAACAATAGTGGTACCTCCAATTTGCGCAACCATATTTCTAATATTCATAAAATTAAAATCTCAGATACTATTAGTTCAGAAGATTCAGCTGTTGTAATTTCTCAGTCAGGCGAACATCTTCTTAGAGAAACATTGGTTGAGTGAATTGTAAAGAATAGTCTTCCATTTATTACTGTTGAATCGGAAAGCTTTCATAAATTATTTGAAGTAATTAAAAAGTTAAAGGGTGATGTTACAATTCCTTCTGCTAGGACAATTAAACAAAATCTATTAGATCAATATTCAGTATTAAAAACCTCATTAAAAAGCATATTAAAAAAAAACTCGAGTAAGTTTTCTCTTACTACAGACATATGGACTAGTAATAGCTACAAAGCTTTCATAGGAGTTACAATACACTGGCTTGATAAGAACTGGGAAATTCAATATTATGTACTCGATCTTGTGCCGTTTGAAGGATCGCATTCTGGGGTTAATATAGCAAATACTTTAATTAGCATTTGTGAAGATTTCAGTATCACCAATAAAATACTTGGAATAACTGTTGACAATGCTTATAATAATAATACTTTTTTTAATGTATTTGAAACATATTTTAAGAATATTGGTGGTTTTTTTATTAAATGGCAAGGCTATGTTCGCTGTATTGCTCATATAATTAATCTTGCTTTGCAAGATTTTTTATATAATTTACGTTCTGAAGCACCAGATCAAGAATATAACGAACTTAATATTTTGAATCAAACTAATACTTCTCAAATCTCTACAATAAAAAAACTTTAAAATCTCATAAGTAAACTTCGATCTTCTCCTCAACGTCGCCAAAAGTTAAGTGAACTGTGTAAGTCTCTTAACATAACATATAAGAGTCTGGTTCTCGACTTAAAAACTCATTGGAATTTGACTTTTGATATGATCGAATGAGCTATTATTATGGCTCTGGTGATTAATCAAATAGTTAGTAAAGTTCTCGAGTTAAATTTATTTGGTCTTTCACCAAGAGAGTGGGATATGTTAAAAGATGTTTCATTACCTTTAAAAACTTTTGTAATATATCTGAGATGATGTGTGGTGAATTCTACGTAACTATGCTTCTTGCTGTTCTAGTATTTAATTTAATTATGGATGATCTTGAGAGACTACTAGAAGAAGGTTTGTCACTAGTGATTAATGAAGCTATTAAAGTGGCACATGAGAAATTAAGATTTTATTACACTAGAAGTAATAGTCTTTTATATGCGGTGACAACTTTATTGGACCTAAGATTAAAAAAAAAATATTACGAAGTAAATAGTTAGGATAGTGATTAGATTAATTAGACAATAGAATATTTAAATGAGGTATATAATAGGTATAATTTTAACAACATGGTACCAGAATTAGATTCAGAAAATACTAATATTGTTAGTACTAGTAGCAGTCATCTTAATGTATTTTTGAGAATCTTCATAGTTTTACAGACTTTGATGAAATTAATTCATACTTAAATAGTCCTGTGGCAGATCATCGCATAAATATATTTCAGTAGTGAAAAATGCATGCCACAGAGTTTCCAAAACTATCAGTTATAGCATGTAATTATCTTGCTATTCCTGTGACGAGCACCCTATCTGAGAGACTATTTTCAAAAGGTTCAAATATGGATACTAAAAAGCATGGATCTCTAAATCCAGAAACTATCCAAAAGGCAATTGCGCTTTGTGATTGGATAGATTGAAGGGTGTATATATATACTGTATATATTATTTCTATGATATGTAAACTTTCAAATCAAGTAAAAAAAAAAAAAAAAAAAAAAAAGTATATTTCCTAAAAACAAACTATTATAATTAGAATTAGCATGATGTAGTTCTCTTATTTATTACAAAGATCAGGTATAATATAAAAAATAGTGAAAAACCTTATTTTTTAAAAAAAATCTCCAATAACTTAAAATTTTAGATAGAAAACAAACAGCCTTTTGTGTTCTAACTAGAAAAATTCTTTGCAAAATTTTGATATAAAATATGCTGCTCTAACCCTAAATTGAACCTACCCTAACTCTAACTAAATTGAAGCAAAACATTTTGTTTTGATTTCTACTATAGGTGTGCGAGATATCATAATGCGATATATGCATTTATTCTTATAATTAAATGTTTATACGTAGTGTATATCGTATTTTAATAACTGTTAAATATCGAATATATATATCATGAAACTATAAAAAGTAAAAAATTGAGAATTATACTAAATACTGAAAATGTTACTATTAATTAAATAAA